TGTTAATTTACGGAAATATGATTTTGATTTGTTGATGTACGACACAAATCAGACTTCTAAACGGAAAATGTAAATAACTGGATAATTCACATAGTCCTATATATAGAACAGCACCAACCCAATTTCGCTAAGACAGTGACAAATGGCATACCCTTACAACCAACGGATTTTTAACTGCCGACGTGTCTTTAATGTGCTCCGTCTAATGAATTGTTTCGTATTATAGAACGCTTTTCCATGTCAGCCCTCACCAGCCAAGGGGAGCCCAGTCGGAAAAATCTACAAGGTTGGCATCGCGCTCTCCGGATGCGAATAACTGTCATAATATCTGTCAATAACGATTCATGAAAAGAGCATGACCGCTTGAAAATTTGTCCCGCGCTCTTTGGAAAATCCTTAATCCGCAAACAAATCTCAGAGGATGATGCAGTGTATACGGACAACGTTGTTACTCACTTTAAAGGTAAGACTATTTACTAATAACACAGATAATAGAATTGTCAGTATAATAGTAAACAACAATATTATTAATATTATTATTAGTCTATTAATGTTATAAACACCAAGTACAAACAATCCGAACCGTTGAACAAAATACATAAAATCGATTTATGCATTAGTCTAACGGATCGGATCGTTTGTAAATTTGTACTGGTAATTATCATGAATCGACACGACGATCTGAGAATAGCACGTGATTTGACAATCGTAATTACGTTACAGTAGCGGGAATAACCGAGTAGCTACGATTGGTGACTTGATAGAGGCTGGAAACGTCATACTCACTGATCTATTAATAGATAGATCAGTGGTCATACTAGACTAGACTAGTCTTGATCATTCAGACTCTTTACTGTTTATGTTCTGTAAAGTAAAGATTCTGGGTGATCGAGACTAGGGTGCAGACTGTTTCGTAAGCTGGCTGTTTCGTACTTAGTTCTTTCGTACCTCGTTTCGTACCTCAGATTGATTCGTACCTTTTCCTACGTGTTGTTGAAATAAAGTTGAAACATGATTCGTACCTTTTTCTACGTGTTGTTGAAATAAAGTTTGAACATGATTCGTACCTCAGATTTATTCATATCTTTTCCTACGTGTTGTTGAAATAATGTTGAAACACGACGACTTAATAATATCCAACCACTACTACAAAATTTTTTATAAAAATGGCTGCAACGCGAACTTTATAAAACAAAGATGGCTGCTTGTTGCGCGAATTTTATAAAAAATGCTGCTGAACCAGAATTAGAACCCCAAATAGCTTTGTACTTTTTTAAATATGTTGAAAGAAATTTAAAAATATAAGTTGGCAAAAAAAACCAATCATGGACCTTATTGTATTATAAGGTCCATGACCCAACACACACTGCGATCTGCCTTTGTTGTTTATAATCTGGTGATGATTACTGAACTCATTAAGCGAGTGGGTAGTGATTCTTATTCTTGACGATAATTGATTGGCGATTGTTAAAACGGTTAAAAAGAGATTGAAAAATATTTAATCTGGTGTTGATTATTGAGTCCATTCAGCTGGGTGACTTGTGATTATTGACTATGAGTTGTGATTTTTGTCAATATTGACCGGCGATTGTTAACTTCAAAGGGTCAGGCGGCGCAAGCAGTTATTGCCAATCCTCCATTTTACCTGCTCTATTGCTGCATAAAGAAGCATCGATATTGCCGTTACAGATAAAGCTTGTGTCAGAGGGGAAGTTAAAAAGATATCAACGTATTGACACTCTAGACCAGGATCGTATTTTTAGCCTGCGGGGGGAATACGCACAGAACCAGATATCAGCCAGCTCCCTGTTAAGAAGATGCGCGTTTGTTTACGGCCCAACTGCCGCTCCTGTTGCACAATGGCGGTCCCAAGCCCGGGTGCAAAATGAGGTGGGATAAGCTTAAGTGCATTGTAAAAGTTTAAATTAACGAAGGTACGAAACAGCTCATGTGAGGAAGCTTAAGTTTAAGTACGTGTAAAACTTGAAATTTCCGAAGGTACGAAACAGCTCGCGTGAGGTACGAATGAACTAAGTACGAAACAGCCAGGTTACGAAACAGCTGACATCCCGAGACTACATACTAGACTAGTTCATTTAGCTCTTAATTGTTCTGGTTCAAACTTTAACATTGCGCTGGGTGATGGAGTCTTGTAACCTCGTGGGGGAGAACGCTAGATCGAAGCCGGTCCTTAGCATTTTATGACGTCATATGTGGATTATGGGTTAGGGTAAGGGTTAGGCTTGGCCCAGGGTTAGGGTGAGGGCTAGCCCTGTCTACATCTCGAGACTCTGACGAAACCTGCAGGTCCTAGCCCTTACCATAACCCTTATCTTAACCCACAATCCTCATATGACGTCATAAAATGCTAAGGACCGGCTTCGATCTAGCGTTCTCCCCTCGTGGAACTCACTAAAGGATTCTGGGAAAAGACGACATTTTGCTGGCGCCATTAAAACGAATACCGGTACTGAAATAGTTGAATGGAACGTTTATTGAATGAAAAATTCATTGATTGAAGTAAATTTTACCCAGTGTAAGTTCATGTACTATATGTGTCACACTGTACGCTAATGCTTAAAAAATGTATGAATGTCACGTTTGTAAACACAAATGTACGTCAATAAAGTCTTATTGTCGGCATTATGCATTTCACAGAAATGCTGCAAACGTCAAATTTCCATGTGCTCTAACTTCTTGTGGTAAATTTTGCAAGACATACAATGCATTGCACACTCATATGTCTAGATATCACACCAAACACCAAAAAAGTCTCAGATTATCAAGGTTGCCAGCATTGTCTACTCCAAATTCGTCACAATATAAATGCTCCGTGGCTGGCTGTCAAGAGGCTTCTGATAGCCCACCATCTTTGATTGCCCATTTAAAAACACATTTGGTTAAAGGAGATCAAATATGCTGTCCAATATCTCCGTGTAAAAGTTTGTTCAAAATAAAGTCCTCATTTTCTTCTCATTTGACACGAAAACATCACAATTGGACAAAAGACAGCTTCAACCGACAAAGTGTTGATGACAATATTACTTCTGATTCAGAGTATTCTGCAGTTGACAATTATCAGTTAGATGATGTTGACCAGGAGGGGTCTGTTGACAATATCGATATCGATGAATACGATACCATAGCAGATGAAAATGATGAAGATATTAGTGTAGAAGATTATGAAAGTAATTTCATGACCAGCTTTGCTTTATTTTACTTAAAATTACAAGCTAAGCAATTAATCCCTCAGTCCACAATTCAGTTCATAGTCGAAGAAATTGGCAATCTGTATTCTTTAGGTTGGAAATATATGAGAAAAATGTTAAAAAGGAAACTGGTCGATCAAGAACTCTCCAATGATGTGGCAGAACAGTTGCTGGAGGAAATTCAAGATCATAATCTGTTTTTGCACGCAACCAACCTTGAGGACTGTCCCTTTCGTTCAACTTACAGAAGAAATATTTATTACAAATCAAAATTTAGACATGTTCCTCCAGTAAAGTGCAAAATTGGTCAAAATATTGAAGGCTCCGTGCATAGTTACTATGTGCCTTTGGAAAAAACCATTGCCTCTCTCTTTCAAGACAGTTCGGTTTTAGATCAGTACAATAATCCAATTATAAATTTTAATAGCAATGAGTTGCATGATATTCATGACGGCACACATTTCAAAAACAATGCCTTTTTTCAGGATAATTCTCGTATACAAATTCTGCTCTATCAAGATGCGTTTGAAATAGTGAATCCAATAGGTGCAGCAAAAACAAAACATAAGATGATTGGTATTTATTTCACCTTAGGTAACTTTCATCCATGGAATAGATCTAAAATTGATACAATTCAGCTTGTTGCACTGTGTCGTGACAAGGATTTATCTGAATTTGGTGCTGAAGTGGTGTTCAAAAATTTCATTACTGATTGTAAACGGTTTGAGAATGTAGGGTTCCTGAACATCAATGGAATAACTGGTCCTTTATTTGGTACAGTAATATCTTGTTTGGGGGATAATTTAGGTTCACATTACTTGGGTGGATTTGTGGAAAACTTTTCAGGTGAATATTGGTGTCGATTTTGTCTGCATGCAAAGAGTGATAAAGATAATTTACCTAAAGAACCAAGAACTGTACAAAATTACAAGGATTGCCTGAAACATCTGAAAGATCATCCTGATATAAAAACTTATAAAGGGATTAAAAAAGATTCTGTCTTGAATAAATTATCTCACTTTCATGTATGTTCTGGCTTTCCTCCTTGTATTGCACATGACCTATTTGAAGGAGTGGTTGCTTATGACTTGCAGCTTATAATTGATTATTTTGTCAAAGTTAAATGGTTGACATATGATTACATGAATAGTCTTATTAAAAAATTTCCATTTAAATTGAATGATGCAGTTGATAAGCCTTGTATATTGAAACCTAACAAGACCAAATTGCCCGGAAATGCAATGCAAATTTGGTGTCTGTTGAGACTTTTCCCTATGCTATTTGGAACAAATATCCGTGACTGAACAGACAGTGTGTGGAATCTATTACTATCACTCCAGGAAATGATTCTTTATCTTTGCTCTCCATCTATCAGTTTGGGACAAATCAGTTATATGGAGGATTTGATTGTAATTTATATGAGTGAACGTAAACGTTTGTTTCCAGCAGTAACCTTAAAGCCAAAACATCATTATGTTCAACATTACCCGTTGCTGACCTTGCAATATGGTCCTCTGATTAGAGTTTGGACAATGCGAATGGAATCAAAACATTCTTATTTCAAGCGTTGTGTAAGAAGGTTTCAAAATTTCAAAAATATAGGATACACCCTATCTGAACAACAGCAATATTTGCAAGCATATTATTCTAGTGGTTGTCTATTTGACAGTGAACTTTTTATACATAATTCAATCCCGTTTAAGTTAGATAACTTTAATAGTACTGTACAAGATAGTATTAAAAACAGCGAAATGAATATAGAAAGATCTCTAGTCTGTGACAGCATTGTTTACAGGGGTATTACCTACTCCAAGAATGACCATCTTATACTATTAGATACTTCTGACCGTTTCCAAATTGGGAAAATAGTTCTTCATTTAGTGAAAGACAATGAACCGTATTGCATTGTTGAAATGTTTGAGGCCATTCGCCTTCCTAAGTTTGGAGTTCATAAATTGGAACCAATAAACGTCAACTGCTTTAAACTGCTAAAATATACTCATGAAATATTTGATTATTATCCATTACCTACTTATTTGGCATTTGGGGTCACTTGCATAGTATTAAAACACACTGTACCAATAAGATCATAAACAGGTGTATGTGGTTAATTTCTAGTGTTTCAGCATGGATATTTCACACTTCATTAAAGTGACCACCTGTAACGGTCGCAAGGTGGCAGTGCATTGTGATGGGAACACTTATGATGAATTTTTGAAGAATGGTAAGTTGAAAAAACTGTTTCCACCAAAATTACAAAACGTCAATTCAATTTGCCAGAAACACTTCATTATTTCAAATGCAAATGAATGTTTAGGCTAAATGAAATATGGCATGGGCAATAAGGGTGAATATGCTTAACAGATTTTCAACTGTTGAGATCTCTTAACATGCTGTGCATAATGAAACGCTAGTCTCGGGTTGTTGTCTTGTGTGCGAGTTAATTTGTCGTGTCAAGTTAATATCTCAGATGGGCCTTTTTTTGCCAAGGAGGGTGAATTTGCCAATGAACACAATCCCATTTTTTGTCCCCTCCGATGGACTAGAACAATGTTTCTTGTCAACACTCACCTGAAAAAATTCACAAGGTCAACTTATGATATGCTAACCCTGGCACCACCACTGTGAGCGGCAAGTCTATATCGGTTTGTTTGAATCCAGTACAGTCATCTATATTTCGTCCTAAAACTCCTAATGTGTACAATTGTTAGAATACCGTGTACAAGAGTATTCAGAAGACGAGGAGTAACATGACATCTGTCCTTATAAACCTGCTGAATTTGCAAACTCGATGTCCTCGTTCAAATTGCTGAATTATTTGTGGTTCTAGTCCTGCTTTACAGTTGACGCTCGGTTCAGTAATGATGAAATACATTCCATTTCATATTTGTATACACACTAACAACATATTTTCTATTTATATTTGTATTTTCAGTGAGTGAAAAGTTTAACATCCCTGAAAATAACATAGAGATCACTACCAGTGATAATACAGAGGTCGATAATGTGTACTTCAACGCAATTGTTAAATCTGTAGACCAACTTAATGCAAGGGATCGTACTGCATGTAAGTAGTTTTTAGTCCCCTACCGGTGAATCCGAGGGGACTATAGGTTTTGTGCCCGTCTGTCAGTCAGTGCATTGGTTAAAGTTTTGTGATGGCTTACCATTCGCTTAAGAATGATGTTAGGATTCTGATTCTTTGCATAGAAGTTCTTTATGGGTCTAACGTGAATGCTGTGGAGTAAAATTGCAAAAAAGATTATGATTTTCTTACGTGTTCATGGACACAATAACGCTTATCTCATTTGCTTCTGTCAAATTCATAAGATTGTTTTATTTCAGGTGAATCTAAAGCATCAACTGAATTTAGTCTACAATCACCTCTACAATCGCCAACGTCGTCAATAAGTTCCAGGAGCTGTACCTCTCCGTTGGAGACTGGGACTCAAGCCACCATACAAATTCCATGGAATAAGATTCCGTCGAGTCTTAATCAGGCATTTGAAGAGGAAGAGCTAATAACTCGAAAACAACGATGTTTGTTAATAAAAATATTGTGGGATGAGATAAAACAAACCAATCAAAGAATCTCGAGGAAAATCCTGAGAGAAGTGGCGGCAAAAGTTGTACGAAGACATCCAAGATGTTTCGAAAAACGGATGGACGGAACGATTTTGACTGACGGTATCGAAGAACTGATGTTAGCTTTAGAAGCGAAAAAAGACAACGAAAACCGACCAGAATCTTGTGAAAAATCCAAGAAACCACGCTTAGACATTGAAGTCATAAATTCAGAGTCATTTAATCAAAATGAACTTAAGGATTTGTTTTTAAAAGATAAACTGACTGATGTGGAAAAACAGAAAGTTCGTGAAACAATGATATCCACATATCAGGCACAAAGAATAGATTTCATCGACAAAGATACAACCATATGCATGGTTAAAGCAAGTTGGCCATTTATATTTCAAAGTGATTACTTTTTTAAACACTTCGAAATGTTAACCAGTGTTAATTTACTGAAGTTGTTCAATGGAATCGGAGAAATACAAAGTGTGCGAATCTATAATTATCTTGTTGCCCAGAAGACCTGTAATCTTTCAGAAATACAAAATCTGCAGGAACAGCCAAATATAACCTGGACATATCAGATGTTGACCCAGGTTTTTAAAGAGGATCTTAAGGAATTGATAGTATGTCAGGTATGTTATACTATACAGCTTTTTCAAATCGGTATGTATTGGCATACATTTATAAACTTCCAACTTCTACTTGGTGTATAAGTTTATATCCAGATGATCCAGTTGGTCACATTTCAAAAGTAACTTGCAGAGTTATTGTCCTTATCCCAAAATTATTATGGGTTTCTGTAAACATGCTAACACCTAGGGCATTTAACTGATTTTGTTCATAAATAGGTGTGTATAAGATCTAATGTACAACTGTTGATTATTTTTTTGTTTTATTAAAGCGACTATGTTGAAGACTTATATCCCTATATACACGCTAACATGATGATAACATGAAGAAGTAATATATAATTAATAGATTCGTACAATTATAATTTAGTATATTCAGTATTTTTCTGTCTAAAATTTAACTTCGTTTTATTTAGGATTCATTGAAGACAGATAAACTTCCGTGCACACCATGCATAGTTGGTATTGGTAAGTATTGATATTGTCATAAAATATGTTACGTCTTATCTCAGCAGAATGTTTCTCGAAGTAATTATCAAATTTGTCATGGGCTTCGCTGCCTCAGTATGGTCCTTGCTCGCTAACCAGGAGGTCATCCGGATTTTCCAAACCAGCTTGCCCTTGTCAGTGGCACAGACCCTAGGGGCTGGCAAGGAATAGCATATGTCATTCGGATGAAGCGAAAAACCAAGTTCCTGTCTACTGCATCAGGACGCACGTTAAAGAAATGAAATGGAGTTTTGACGTCCCATTTTTATGTACTGTTAAGGCTAATTAGAGATGCTCAGACAGTTTGAAAATGGCGAGGAGTTGTCACCGACTGAAATAAGTGCATAAAAGTAGAACGTTAAACCCCTTATTTCATTTGCTGGTTCATTTGAAATTACATGAAATTTTGATTTTATGAGCCCATGAACTCAAAACATTTTTGATCAACTCTTCCACTACACTTTCACTCACCAGATTTCTGCCATGACGTGATGTCATATTTGTCATTGTTGGGTCTAGTATGTCCGAGTGAAGAGTCCTATCTAAGTTCTACATCTTCTTGTAGCACCAATATACAGACTGTAAATGCCTATGTATGCTTTTAAATTTGGATGGGGAGATTTTGATTAGCATTTAAAACATATGGTCAGCTCTACACATTCAAACTTCATGCTCACAGTATGTGATAGATTGAAATGAAATAGAGTTTAACGTCCCATTTTTGTGCACTGTAAGGCTAATTAGAGACGGGTATATGCCAAGTGTGTGCAATGAGGGTGAATTTTGCCAAGGCAGCGGCACATGGCCTACTCTTACAACCGATTTTAACTGCTGAGGTGTCTCCTACGTGATCTATCAAATGAACACGGGACTCAGTTTATCGTCGTCTCCGATGGACTATAACGCTTCTCCATGTCAGCCCTCACCTGGCAAGAGGGAACCCAGTCTGAAAAATTCACAAGGTTGACCCCGACCTCGTCGGGATGCAAACCCGTGACCTTCAGCAAGAGGGGGAAGCGTCCTAACCTTTCGACCACACCGAGCCCCATGTGATAGATTGAACAAATGCTAGGATTTTTCTACATTGTATTTTCTAGGGCCATCTATATTTCATACTTCTAAATATGTGCTAGTTGTGGATAAAGAACCCGTCACTACAGATATTACATCACTTTCAGTGGCAATGGCCATGCAATTTGCAGCCTTTTTTATTTTCAATATTTGCTTTCCGAAAAAAGTTATCAATACTATGGATGCTTTCCAAAGGTATGTAAAGTTATGGTACTTGAGTGAATCTCATGGTGGCTGATTTCGACCACTTAGCGTCTTCGCTTCCAATCAGACGACTTTGTATCTCGACTTTCCATTTTAGTATTATTGAAAAAAACGAAGAACCAAAGACACGAAGTGGAAATCAGCCACCATAGAATCATTTTAGCTTTCACATTTGAAAAAAAAAATATAGTGATTTGCAGGATTTTTTAAAGTTGAAAAAGGAAATGGTGCTATTTGAAGTGTGTGACTGTGAACCCCATTCTTTGCATCGTTTGGTATCCATTTGTTACTTTATTTCTCAATATATTTCACTGGGAAATCTTCAGAAAACTCGATATCCAACTCTGGCATTTGACAGATTTTTGCATATTTGTCCAACGAACAGCTTTCAAAACATTCCTATCAAATAGGGTGATGTTTTACCAGTCATTTGATTTGAGACCATCCATCAGTATTTACGAACTGGTGTTCTGTTGATGTTCGTTGCGATTCCAATTGGATACATATCCTCTCCAAAACCTACTTCAACAGTCCACTCATAAATTTATACATTTGGTTAAATCACCCCTGTAATTGACAGTGTTTAAAGGGAATATTGTTTATGAAAATATGCCACAATTGGCTACAGAAATCTACAAAATATGAAAATCCCCATTATCTGCACTGAATATACTAGGTTACTTGATCTCTCCGGTATATGGAGGTCTACAATGTATATCTATTTTGAACCCTATTCATAATTGATGGATCGTAGATCACATGCACAATTCTCTTTAGTCCTACACCAAGAGCCTATTTGTCCAAGCATAAGTATGAATATGTCAAAGTGCTCTATGAACTGTGCCAGTACATAATCATTGTGAAAGGTACTTATAATTTATAGTTGTCTATTACAGGTTCATATTGAAGTTTAAAAATGAGAACACTCCCAAAAAGTTGAAGAAAAAGACCTGTGTCAATGATCAAGTTCTTAAATTTGCGTCCGATGTAGCGAGGTACGAGGCCTTCCTTGAATGTGGAGAGGTATCCGATTAAAGAAATTTTTACAATTTTTGCAATTAACATTTTTAGTGCCGTTACACCCCTCCATATCATTATCGTGGCCTAAAGTGATAAACATTTTTGTGAAATCATTAGTTACAAGTATGTTTATGATGTCTTAGTGATGAGTAATGATGATGTCATTAGTGATAAGCATTTGTTCATGTTATAAGTATGTTTTTTATATCATTAATGATGAGTATATTGATGTCAATAGTGATGTGTATGTTTTTGATTGTCATTCTAAGTATGGTTGTGATGGCTATTAATGAGGAGTATGTTTCATGTTCACATTTGTTTTAATGTGAGATATTGTTTTTAATGTGTGTAAAGTTTTATTTCATTATACTTTATCAAGGTATGATAACTTTTAAAATGATTTTCTATAACAATTATATACACATGGAAAAAAGTTAAATCGACACCTATATTTTTCAAAATGTCTTGTCTTACGAGGTTTGGCGTTGAAAGCCTGATAACGTAACCTCAGAAAAACAAATGTGGTTTGCAAGAACACTTCTTTGACCATAAGAAAACCGGGAAAGTTTATCCAGCTTTGATATTTAATCATGATTCTGAGAAAAAATCCAAGATGCTGTATTTGTCAAAAAAAAAGAGTCAAAATAAGTATGAAGGTACAGAGTCAGAAACACAATCCAACATCACGATTGTTGATGAAAAATGTCATTTTGAGTCCAAAGATGACATTCATGACACAAATCATCAATATAGCCGGTAAACCCGGCAGGTGTCTGGTTGACAGCTTTTATCCTTCGTCTCATTCCTTGTGTTCAGGTGGGTTCAGTGCATTTACTCGACACCCAAAAATGTCCCAATAATGCTCAAGTGGGTTTAGGTCTCGACTCATAGCTGGCCAGAATTACTGGAGGAATGAGAGGAAGGGTAAAAGCTATCATCATGGCACGTGCCGGGTTTATTCGCTATTGATGATTTGTGTCATGAATGTCATCTTTGGACACAAAATTACATTTTTCATCAACAATCATGATGTTGAATTGTGTTTCTGACTCTGCACCTCCATACTTATTTTGACTCATTTTTTTGGCCAAATACAGCATCTTGGAATTCTCCTCAGAATCATCATTAAAATCTCGAAGCTGGATAAACTTTTACGGTTTTCTTATTGTCAATGATGTATTCTTGCAAACCACATTTGTTTATCCGATGTTACGTTATCAGGCGTTCAACACCAAACCTCGTAAGATAAGTCATTTTTAAAAAGTTTTATTTCATTATACTTTATCAAGGTATGATAATTTTTAAAGTTGTTTTTCTATTGAAATTGTTTTTCCATCAAATATCTGTATCTGAACATTAATTATATGTATATTTAAAACTTAAGTTCACATCATTTTCTGTAGTTCACATCATTTTCTGTAGTTGAATGCACAAATAAGATCCAATAAACAGATAAACTAAATCAGTTTTGTTATTTCACAGAAAAATGAGAATAATTTCTGGCAGTTATAAAAATTATGTTTTTCGACATAACTGGAAGAAAAAATTCCGGCAGCTGATTTACCAGAATTTCCATTCTATTTTCTGTTAATAGAAGGAAATATTGTTAGTCAATCTGTAATTTAACAGATTTTGTCGTAAAATATTTCTGTTATTCAAAGCAAATATTTTACGAGAAATTCTGTTATATAACTGAAGGCAACATTTTAATTCTGGTAAATCAGCTGCCGGAAATTTTCTGTTAATTAATGGAAATTTTTTTTACAGTGTATGTCAGTTATTTAAAGTTGAATGTTTCATGTAAATATATATTTTGTATTCTACTTTCTATTTATATTTTATTTAGAGTTGAATATTTGGTGATTATGATTCATATTGATTACTTGGATAATTTTAATCATTATTTGGTGAATAAAATTCAGAGTGAACATAAATTCATAAAATCTTTAACACCGTTAATTGGGTCCTAATAACATGTCTCTCTTTAAACGAAAGCCGACAAGTCCATATCTGCACCTTCGGGGGAAGAAATAATTTTGGTCCGGGAGGACGGACCCAACCGGCCCCGTCGGTCGCCGAAGGCGTCCTGCGCGCCGAAGGCGTCCTGCTGGTAGGGGGCTCTGGGGGGGGGTTCTCCCCCCAGAAAATTTTTGAAATTTGACAACGGGAAACGCGTTTTGCAAGCACATGGGAGAAATCTAGGTATCATATTTTCCAAATTTATGCTGCTATTTTGACTATAAGACATACTACTGTACTACACAAGACAGTCCCAGCCAAAAAAAATATCATCCCACCTAAATTATTTTTTTTGCTTGTGCCTGTTTCCTGTATGTACTCTTCTTCTGTAGGATGCTACCTTTCTCTGACTCCACTTTATGATTTTGCTGTAGTCGGCAAAATTTTTAATCAAAGACCATTTCACCTTAAGGTGACAGACATTTGCACGTCAGCATAATATATTTTACTAATCGTTCTGTATGTATGATTTTCGCGTGCGCACTCTCAATTTTTTGAGGGGATTCCGCGTGAAAATTAGAGCTCTCAGGGGGGCCGGCTTATACGGGTGGACTTATTGTTTAATGGGGGCCTGGGAGGACACCGTCCTCCTAAACTCCCTGCCAGCACGCCCCTGGGTCAGGCTCTGTAACGGCGGCGTCGTAGGAATACACCAGTAGAACGACATTAGTTTAGTTTAAAACATATTTTATTGAAACAAAATTAAGAATACAAATAAAAAAAAACATTGTTTCACTAATTATACAGTAGAAAGTTCAAACATATACGTCTTTGAAACATATTTCAGCTCCATCCTATATCACAGATCTTATGCAGCCTTATGTACCAAACCGACCACTCCGTTCACAGAATAAACTATCACTTGTTGTACCTTCAACTAAATTAAAATCTTTTGGTGATAAAGCCTTCAGTGTATATGGTCCACGACTATGGAATGACTTACCTGACAAAATAAAGTGTTCAGAAACAGTTGCTCAATTTCGATCTAGACTTAAGACGCATATGTTCACGATGTATTATCCACAGAAGCCATTAACTTACAGCGCTTAGAGCATGCTCATGGATGGATTAAGCGCTATATAAATGTACATTATTATTATTATTATTATTATTTTAGGACATTCTAATATAATATAATTGTTCACCTGGTAACTACGACTACAAGCATTGTTCTCTATTAGTTTATTAACACCTGGTAACCACGACTACAACCATTGTTCTATATTAGTTTAATACCACCTGATAACTATTGAATTACAGCTTGTAGTATTAAGCTAGTTAGGAGGTTAGATATTACTTGCAGTATAATTCAATATATCGATACGCGGGGGTGGGAGGTATAACATACTTGGTTAATTATTACCCTCTCACACCCTACTTATCACTAAACACAACAATTACTACACAACCACTCCCACCACACCACCACTCATCACTAAAAACAATAATCACTACAAAACCACTCCAACCACACCACCACTCATCACTAACACAACAATCACTCCTAAAACACACCACCACTCATCACTAACACAACAATCACTCCAACCACACCACCACTCATCACTAACACAACAATCACTCCTACCACACCACCACTCATCACTTACACAATCACTCCTAAAACACACCACCACTCATCACTAAACACAACAATCACCCCTACCACACCACCACTCATCACTTACACAATCACTCCTAAAACACACCACCACTCATCACTAACACAACAATCACTCCAACCACACCACCACTCATCACTAACACTCCAACCACACCACCACTCATCACTAACACAACAATCACTCCTACCACACCACCACTCATCACTTACACAATCACTCCTAAAACACACCACCACTCATCACTAAACACAACAATCACTCCTACCACACCACCACTCATCACTTACACAATCACTCCTAAAACACACCACCACTCATCACTAAACACAACAATCACTCCTACCACACCACCACTCATCACTTACACAATCACTCCTAAAACACACCACCACTCATCACTAAACACAACAATCACTCCTACCACACCACCACTCATCACTTACACAATCACTCCTAAAACACACCACCACTCATCACTAAACAACAATCACTCCTACCACACCACCACTCATCACTTACACAATCACTCCTAAAACACACCACCACTCATCACTAAACACAACAATCACTCCTACCACACCACCACTCATCACTTACACAATCACTCCTAAAACACACCACCACTCATCACTAAACACAACAATCACTCCTACCACACCACCACTCATCACTTACACAATCACTCCTAAAACACACCACCACTCATCACTAAACACAACAATCACTCCTACCACACCACCACTCATCACTTACACAATCACTCCTAAAACACACCACCACTCATCACTAAACACAACAATCACTCCTACCACACCACCACTCATCACTTACACAATCACTCCTAAAACACACCACCACTCATCACTAAACACAACAATCACACCACCACAAAAAGACAATAATATCTAACCTCGTTCCCCATCCTCTCGGCCAACCCAGGTCAACCATTATAAAACAAAAGAAGAAGTGTTGAACCCATCAAACCATCCTATCACTATAATCGCTATATGTTACTATCACCAGTACATCACCATGTCCTGGACTACAACACATTCCAGCCTACAGTCCTTCTTGTTGATATCACTGCTGTAGATCCATGTCATACCCCTAGGCCTAGATCCCCATAGATCAAACAAACTAAAATATGCATCTCTATATCCCCATATATCAATCCTGCTAATCTTTACATCCTTCTTCACTTCTATCAACTTTATTAAATCATTTAAACGGACGTTCTTACTGACAGTTATAGTATCCATATCTTCATCTCTATAAAGAAAGGTTAATATATTATATCATTATCAACTGATATAAATACAGGTTAATATATTTTATCATTATCAACTGATATAAATACATCACATTGTTTCACTAGTCAGTATATTATTCAAGTCACGTGTATTTATACATCAGGTAATATTAGTTGGTTTTTATTCAAACCACGTGATATAGAAACTTGTTATTGTAACAAACCATCATTCAATAGTGTAACAAACCACCATTCGATAGAAGTCAAACTTGGTAAAGTTTAAAATCATTAAACTTATCAATATGAACACATTTATTTACAACTTCTAGAAAAAAAAATTATTGTAACAAACCATCATTCAATAGAAGTCAAAATTCAACACTTCTAGTTTGTTAAGTTTACAATTCATCAACATATTTAATATGAACACATTTACTTACCCGTCGTCAAGTAACCGTAAAATAATGTCATCGCTCGTATCTCTCTTAAAACGCCTAGTGTTAGTGTTGGTATTTTTCTTAACTTCTGATTGTTCTACTTTCTTCTAAAATGCTTCCAGGTCAGCCACCCTGTCTTTTAATTCAGCTATTTCTTCATCTTTTCTTTCAAATTTTTCAGCCATTTTCAGCGATTAAATTTAAACCGGAAATCTTCCATCTCGGATGTGCGATCATCCAGGTCGGTCTGGTTACTAGTTTCATTTATTGTGTTTGATGTTCCAATCTGTACAGCTTCACAATCACCATGTATATTATACATGTAGTAGGTATTGTTGGTAACGGTTGATAACTGGAATAGAAAATAAATAAACAACCAGTCTCTACTTGTAAATATTATTACAACAATATCTCTCTTCTTAGATATGATAATCATCGACGACGAATATAAATATCGGAAAGAGAGCTATAGGAGTAAACATACACTGCTTCGTGTACTCACTCGTCAGTATTTGTATTCTACGAGACAGTCATTATCAAGATTACGATGGTTAGTTATTGACGTCATAAACTGACGTGTTATTTTATAAACATGACGTAGTTGTACTTACTGGGGTGGCCATTCTTCTTGTCCTTATTATTCTATGACAACTTTCTTCACTAGAGTTCCCTTAGAACCTTACTAAAGACAAACAGAATTGTATAACACTAGATCAAGGGGGGTTCTATAAAAATTACCCATTGGAAAAACACAGTCTATGTATAGCGTATTAACCACGTGTTATAGTCTTGTATAACTTGTCTCACTACTATTTACGTTAAGCGAGATCAAGTACGATAAATAATTATAATATTTCCCTACCCATGAATATCTATTCTCGATAAAGAATATAATCCCGACTTGTTAAAACGAATATAATAAATTCCCGGTGTTTAAGATAACCTAAATATATTAATATAATAAATAGTATTGTAACTATCTGAATGAATCGTATGTCGTATGTGGTCAAGCTTCAGATCAAAAATTGAACAGCTAATCTCGGCTCACATACCATCCAAGATGACGGTTACCAAACAATCGCATCCATGGATGAACAGAAACCTCAACCGATTAACCAGACGCAAAAGACGAGCGTACAAGAGAGCCAGAAGAAACAACACGAATAGGGAATGGATACGGTACAACACCCTTAAGGCAAAACCCAAAGTGATATCCGACGAGCAAACGACTCCTACCTTCAGTGGAGACATGAGACACAACTCAAAACGATTCTGGGCTTACATAAAACACAAGAAGCAAGACTCAAACGGTGTAGCTCACCTTAAGAACAACGACGGCCTACTATACAGCGAATCCGACACCAAAGCTGAAATCCTGAACAGGCAATTCCACTCTGTCTATACAAAGGAGAAAACGACAAGCATCCCAGAGAAAGGCCCCAGTCCTCATCCAACCATGGATCACATCACCGTGGATGAAATACCAACAAGATTTTTGCGCGACTACCCTGATGAATTAGCACCGATCCTCACCACCATCTTCCAGACTTCCCTAGACAGCGGCACAATACCAGATGACTGGAGGGAGGCGGCAATAGTCCCCATCTTTAAGAAGGGAGACAGACATCAGCCATCCAACTACAGGCCCGTCTCGTTAACATCGGTGTCTTGCAAGGTGCTAGAGCATATCGTACACAGCCAGATAATGAAGCATCATGACATCAACAGCATCTTAACTGACAAGCAACAGGGCTTTAGATCCAAGAGGTCGTGTGAATCTCAGCTAATCATCACCATCGATGCCCTTGCTAAATCACTCGCCAGAGGGGAACAGGTCGACGTGATATTACTTGATTTTGCCAAGGCCTTCGGCAAGGTCCCTTACCACCGATTTCTCCAGAAGCTCCAGTTTTATGGGATAAGAGACAACACGAGGCGATGGGTGAGAGACTTCCTTGCCAGGAGGACACAAAGAGTCAACCTTGATGGGTGTTCCTCCTCCTACGCAGACGTCATATCCGGAGTCCCCCAAGGCACGGTGATGGGACCCCTTCTGTTCCTTACGTTCATCAATGACCTGCCCGAATACACCACCTCAGATGTCAGACTCTTCGCTGATGATGCCCTCATGTATAGACACATTCACAGTGAAGAGGATGCCCAGGCACTAAAGAAGGACCTATCATCACTTGCCAGATGGGAGCGTGAATGGCAAATGGAATTTCACCCCCAGAAATGCACGGTAATACATGTCACCAACAAGAGAACCATCACCAAGTACCAATACAACCTACATGGCCACACCCTAGAGTCAGTTACCAACAGCAAATACCTGTGAGTCACCATCAGCAAAAACCTAAAGTGGGACGAACACATCGGCAACATACGATCCAAAGCCAGCAGGACCCTCGGTTTTATCAATCGCAACCTGAAGGGCTGTAAACAACCAGTGAAGGCCATCGCATATACCACCTTAGTGAGACCCACACTGGAATATGCCTCGTCGATGTGGGACCCATACCAACGAAAAAACATCAAGACACTGATAGGACCCCAGGCAGCGTAACATCCATGCTTCAACACCTACAATGGGAGTCATTAGAAACACGCCGAGTCAGATCTAGACTAGCCATGTTCTATAAGATCACACATGAGCTGATAGAGATCCCACCGCTAGACTACTTAACACCAGGCGATGGCAGAACTAGAGGAACCAACAAGTACCGTCAACCACCAACTCATAGAGACGTGTACAAGTACTCTTTCTTTCCAAGGACCACCACAGATTGGAACAGAATGCCAAACGAAATAACACAAGCCACCAACATCGAGGAGTTCAGAGCGCAGCTAAGCAAGATCCCAGCCCAGCTGCACTGCTGACCCCCAATGTCTGAAGTGATCTGCCCCGTTTTTAAACCGTTTTTAACTGTACATACAAGCCAGATGGTTTTTAGCTGTCTTTCGAGATGCGCCAGTGCATATTTACACTCTACTAGAGTCAGGCACTATAGAGGAAGAAGAAGAAGAATCCTCCACAATTGTCTATTCAGTAGGTGTTTATTTATGTCTGGATAACATAGTCTATTCGATACTATAGTAACGGAAAATCTAGTCTATATATACCTATTGCGTAAGCTTGTAATATGGGCGTCGCCTTTCAATAAATTATTTGAAATGAAAAGTGGTTTTATGGCACCTCAGCTCCAACCGGGCTATATTGCGCCAACATATGGTGAATATTACGAGACAGGCTAAATTATATCACAGAAAAACATTATATGCATAAATACGTATATTGACTTGCACGTTCACGTGTAACTATGGAATACTTTAACGGTTTATTACCGGGCAACGTTTCTACTAGAATTCTTTATCAATATACAGTGTACTATGATGTAATTTTTGCCCAAACAGAGGCGCTATGGCGTCCATTCTTATATCGAATTCCAACTTCCAAGGTTTCTATAAAGTTCACGCCAATGCGTACACCGGGATTCTGATTTTCGTCCAATCCTAAAGACTAGACACTGTCCTTGCCATGGGGGATTACGCCGGAAAATCCAGAGGGCAACCTTCAAGGCCAGCATCGGGAGCGAATCCCAGACCCCCTGGTTAGCGAAATGATATGAAATGAAATGGGGTTTCACGTCCTACTGTTCTGCTTCTAACTGGGCTGGGGGGTTGGATGGCCGAATGGTTAGCACGCGCGCGCTGTATCCTACCGTCTGTCATTGAGTCAACTGGCGGGGTTTCGATTCCCCGGTTGAACGTGAGTAGTAGGGTCGCCTGTCCAATCTCGTGGGGTTTTTCCGGGTCCTCCGGTTTCCTCCCACTGCTAAAGACCCAGACGCGCAGAGCGAATTATTGAAATTAAAAGATTTAAAGATATGTTAGTCCCGAAATGACCTAGTTTGTGTCGAGTGGACGTTAAACCCCATCTCTCCCTCTCTCTCTATCTCTCTCTCTCTCTAACTGGGCTAATGAAGACGGATATACGCCATACAGTGTGCTATGAGGGAAATTGTGCCCGGACAGCGGCGCCACGGCCTATTCTTATATCGAATTCCAACTGCCAAGGGATCTTTTACGGGCACGCATGTGTACACGGGACCTCGGTATTTCGTTCTATTCGAATGACTATACATCGGTTGATAGTTGTTAATGATAATTAGTCTTGATAATAAATATAATTTAATTGTGGTAATATTCTTCAATATATATACGTTGATATTATAAAAATATCCATTTTAAAGTTTACAGTTTATAACACCTAAATAGTAGTTCATATATTTTATTATATTTTCATATAATTTAGTACGTTTATAATTCAGTACGTTTGTCGTGTATTTATACGGTTGGTTAATCTGAAAACAGATAATGGGATCTTATTCAAATTACATTAATCTAAGCCATTCATCAAGTTTACATTTAATTATTAAATGGTGATCGTGTTTCAAGTCATTCAATTCTCGACAACCCGATGGTCTATCTAGTTTATTATTGGCCTGGCATGTGAATAATTTATATAACATTTGAAGCCAAATAAAAGACTTGCTATAAACCGATTTAGCTCTTACACAGTGTATCTTAAATAACACATTTTATGCTTAATATCTATACCTTGTTCTTGATTTATGACAGATTTAACAAAAAGACATTAAAGTTATCTATAAAGTTCTATAAAAGCTAGAGGTTTGGTGTACTAGGGGCACGCGTAATATTCATAATTTATAATCCTATTTATTTTATATGCTTTCATTCGATTCGAGTAAGGAACAAAAACAAAAAGGTTTATAAAGTTTTATTTATAGATCCAAATTTAAAGTTTATGAAATCAAATGAAATGGGGTTTAACGTCCTACTGTTCTGCTCCTAACCTGGGCTAATGAAGACGGGCATACGCCATACAGTGTGCTATGAGGGAAATTTGGCCCGGGCAGCGGCGCTACGGCCTACTCTTATATTCCAACTGTCAAGGGATCTTTTACGTGCACGCCAATGTGTACACGGGACCTCGGTTTTTCGTCCCATCCGAACGACTAGACAGCTGTCCTTGTCAGGCCCTAAATCCTGCATCACTGACAAGGGGAGACCACGCCGGAAAATCGGGATGAACTTTCTCGGCATATGCAGGGATCGAACACCCGACCTCCAGGCAAACGAGCCAGCGTCTTACCCACTTAGCCACGTGATCCCCTTTAAAGCTTATGATGTGTATATGTACTGAAATATTATTAGTTGATAATTAATGTTTTTTAAACTTCATTCCATATTACATGTTCTTAACTACAATATACAACAAACGGTTGCCATGCAACATACACCCAAATTCCATATTACTTGTTCTTAACTACAGTATACAACAAACTGTTGCCATGCAACATGCATCCAAATTCGATATTACTTATGTGTAAGATAATTCTGTTTTTATACCTGGTTGTTAGTTAAATATTGGTAAGATTTGTCCATCATAATCATTTAATATGTTGGTATATGGAATATTCCATGATTGAGCTTCTTTACAATCTGTTTTTATATCTCGAATAAACTACGGCATATCTTCATGTGACCCCACTCCTTCCCACCTACAAGCGGCGAATCGAAAACACAAAACTTGACTCAATGACAGACCTTATGATCCAATACGTACGCGTTAACCATTCGCCCACCCAACTCCCCTCCAACGTCTTTTAGCACTGAGTCAGCGTGGCTCGTCGGGTCAATTAGTGCCGGACAAATGAATATTCCAAGAAATCTGACATTAATCAAATACATGGTAGCTATGAACATCAAGTCTATGTTAATTTTATACATGGTATAGCGATGAACATCAAGCCTATGTTCATATGATACATGGTATAGTTATGATGATCAAGTCTATGTTAGATCCATCCAAGTACCATATTGACGGATGATTTGACTGATATGATTTACAATGTATATTATTTGAAGTTTATGGGTATTATATGTAATGTACTATTACTATATATATATATATATATATATATATATATATATATATATATATATATATATATATATATATATATATATATATATATATATAATTATCATTGGTTATCTTCTTGTGAAGGATTTCATATAATGGTCTAAACTCTGATGTATGTATATTATATTTGATGTTCTATACAGTATGTCAACATGTGGCTTTCATAATAGAATATAATCATCTAAATTGTATTTAAATAAAATATATACATTGTATTGTAGTTATCAGTTAATTGCCGAACTATGAATATACATTGTATTGTAGTTATCAGTTAATTGCCGAACTATGAATAGTATCGAGATCAGTGATACAGATGGTAGTATTTGTGACGTCATATATTCCGTTACGTAAAGATCGTGAATAACGTAATGAAATGAAATGGTGTTTAACGTCCTACTCTCCTGCACCAACTGGGCTTATGACAACAGATAAAACCAATGTGGTATCGAGTTATTTTTCCCGGTCAATGTTCCTGCATGCTCTTCATTACTTTGATGTATGCCAACGGCCCTCTTACACCTTACCAACATATTTTACACCGTGTAGTAATATGGAGGGAAAGAATTTGTGCTTTGAAACATCTATGTAAAATAATATTAGAGTTTTGATTAATTATTCTCCATTGGCAAAATATTAGCTATGGTATAAGTTAATTCTGAAACGCAAATTAAAAATGTTTATGAATATTGTGACAATAGCAAGACATGGGGTCTAAAGACAAGAATGTGGAAATATGATGGCTAGAACAATAGCATTATCTTTCATATTATTGATTCTAACTTCATAACCACAAATATTATAGAAAGTATATGCCGGTTATTTTGAGACGTTAACTGAGCTATAGATTAATGAGCATGTTGGTCATTTACATGTTTCTTTGTTATAAAACATATATCATATTTGTTGACCAAATAAGGTAACAATCCCTGTCGATATACAGGATTGGGGTGGATGTCCATTCCATATTTGGAATTTAGCTGTTATCAGTTGTTTACGTAAATAACACAGACAAAAGAATAAACACAGACAAAAGAATAGGCACCTATATAAGGGAGCGGGGCTAGAATAATTGAGAGAGATCATGTGGATTCTTTAGACGACTATTTCATGCGGTAGTGTTTTCCTGGGTCTAGCCATGCTGGCTAGATTTTTACAGGATTGGGGTTGGAGAGAAAGAGATGTTAATTTTAAATATTGTAATGTAGACTACTGTGTAACTGTGGTGACATAAAATGTTTAGCAAAAACACCATCATTGTTTCTGTTACTTATTTGAGTCGGTATCGTGAGAAAAAACAATGGTGAAGTCCTTAAAAAATACAACAGTAGCAGTCCAGAGCCAACCAACCCCCCATTAGACGATCAGGCCAAAAACTAAGATGTGTAGTCGGATAGTACTACACCGTGACCCTCTTATAAGAAACACAAATTATACACCGTGACCCCCTTTCAGGGAACAAAGAACACCGTGGCCGCTTACAAGGGATATATATCTATGAAATATACATAGTAGCCACTTACAAGGAACAACAATTATACACCGTGGCCCCCTTACAAGGAGCAATGAACACAGATTATACACCGTGACCCCCCCCCCCCCCAACCCCCACAAGAAACATATACAGAAACCACTCACAAGGAACATATATTATACACCGCCCCCCCCCCCACCAAATATCTACGTATTATAAACTGTAAATAGTAAACTGTATGCATGAAGTAAATATTCACATTGGTGTAACCTGTAAATATTATATTTAAAATAACAGAGCCTTTGGTAAATTAATTTCCTATTGTATTATTCAGCTGAGAAGTGTTATCAGTTGATACAAGTTGATACAATGGGGGGCTGATATAACTGTATTGAACTAAAGTAATTTGTCAGGTTAAAAAAGAGTTATCTCCATTTCTATGGGACTTTTATATACAGGTAGGTTGGTGTATATGGTACCATAGAGGTACTATATTATGGGCGGCAGGTACTGTTATATATAGGTAGGTTGGTGTATATGGTCGACAGGTAGACCTACTGTTATATACAGGTAGGTTGTTGTATATGGACGACAGGTACTGTTATATACAGGTAGGTTGGTGTATATGGTTAACAGGTAGGCCTACTGTTATATACAGGTAGGTAACATTAAGGTGTTGTATTAGGTACCACACAGCAGGTACTGTTATATACAGGTAGGTAACATTAAGGTGTTGTATTAGGTACCACACAGCAGGTAACTACAAACTGTATTTACACATATCATCCATGTTAAAGTCGCTTCACTGGTTGAATGTCGAACTCGGGATTCCAGTATAAAGTTCTGTCATTAGTCTATCAATGTCGAAATTATTTCGTCCCCTTATATTTATCTGAACTTTTGACAAATTGTAATCCCTAAGATCGAATATCAAAAACATACTTGCTCTTCCTAAAACTAAACTAATTTGTTGTCAGTGAGAGAGAGAGAGATATGGGGTTTAGCGTCCACTCGACACAAACATTGTCATTTCGGGACTAACATGGTTCAGTTATTTTTCAATAATTTACTTGCGCGTAGGGGCCTTTTGAAGTGGGATGAAACTGGAGGACCCGGAGAAAACCCACGAGGTTGGGAAGGCGACCTTACTCCTTGTCACATACTACCTGGGAATCGAAAACCACGACAGTTGACTCAATATGACAAACATTATTGATACAACGCGCACGCACTAACCAATCGTCCCCCACCCCGCCATTAAAAATTAGGGAATCTCAAAGTTTCACAATTTTCAAGTCCCCACTAAAAACTCATTTAATCTAGATTAGAAACAGATTGTATTTGCGTATTTTTATTTTAATCAACGAGAATGTTGACGGCGTTATCCAGTCTTTCATGATACCGCAGACTGACCCCCCCCCCCCCTCTGTTAGTGGAAACTACCTCATTTCTTGACACCATAGAAATATTAGTAGAACGACATTAGTTTAGTTATAAAATATTTTATTGAAACAAAATTAGAACAAAAAATATAAAACATTGTTTAACTAATATAATTATATATTATATACATGTCAGTTAGTTATCACATGATCACGACTACATATCACCTAATAATCGTGACTATTGAATTACAGCTTTATTTACAGTAGAAAGCTAGTTTTATATTAGGATGTTAGATATTACTTAGAGTAAGATTCAATATTTCAATCAGGTGGGACAGGTGAGACAGGTAAGATATTACTTAGAGTAAGATTCAATATATCAATCAGGTGGAACAGGTGGGAGAGGTAAGATATTACTTCGAGTAAGATTCAATATATCAATCAGGTGGGACAGGTAAGATATTACTTAGAGTAAGATTCAATATATCAATCATGGGGGTGGTGGGGGGGAGGGGTATACGATACTTGGTTAAATACTAACAGGTGGGACAGGTGGACAGTTGGGACAGGTTAGATATTACTTAGAGTAAGATTCAATATATCAATCATGGGGGTTGGGGGGGGGGGGGTATAAGATACTTGGTTAAATACTAGGGTGCTGATGTGGTTGGTAATACTCATCACTAACATAGCACCCACCCAACCACGTATACCACCCATCACATCACACACAACACCAACACCACCAACCACCACTGACCACACCCTAAACACACACCACTCCCACCCACCACATTACACCACTCTAACATTTTAACATTTTACTTTATTCCACCCTCACAACCTAATCAAGAGACAATAAGATAATAATACCTAACCTCGTTCTGGTTCATCCATTATATTTTACTATAAGTAATATCTACCCTACCCCACCCGACACACCTCATTGTTCAATATAAAGGAGACCATAAATACATCATATCAATATAATCTCTATATTTTACTATCAACAGAACACAACCTGGTCCTGGTCTACAACACCAAGTTGTTCCAGGCTATAGTCGTTCTTGTTGCTATCACTGTCGTAGATAACTCTCATACTACCATGTCTGTATCCCTCTATAACAAGCAGACTAATCTTCTCATTCTTCTTCTCTTCTATCAACTTCATTAAATCATTAACACTGACTTTCTTACTCACAGTTATAGTACCCATATCTATACATCTATAAATACAGGTTAATATATTATATCATTATCAACTGATATAAATACAGGTTAATATATTATATCATTATCAACTGATATAAATACAGGTTAATATATTATATCATTACCAACTGATATAAATACAGGTTAATATATTATATCATTATCAACTGATATATATGGTGGCTGATTGCTATCATATGTCCGTCTTCATTAGCCCAGTCGGAGCAGAACGAAATGAGATGAAATGAGATGAAATGGGAGTTTAACGTCCTACTGTTCTGCTCCGACTGGGCTAATGAAGACGGGTTTATACCATTCAGTGCGTTATGAGGGACATTTTGCCCGAACAGCGGCGCTACGGCCTACTCTTATATCCAATTCCAATTGCCAAGGGATCTTTTACGTGCACGCCAATGTATACACAGCACCTCGGCTTTTCATTCCATCCGAATGACTAGATAGCTGTCCTTGTCAGGCCCTCCATCCTGCATCCCTGACAACGAGAAACCACGCAGGAAAATATTGATGAACTTTCTCGATCATCACCGGGGGCGAATCTGCGACGTCTAGGCCAGCGAGCCAGCGTCTTACTCACTTAGCCACTGTGGCTCCCGGAGCAGAACAGTTGGACGTTAAAACCCATTTCATTTCATTTCATTTTCTTACCAATCGGCCACCATAGATATAAATACAGGTTAATATATCATTATCAATAATCATCTTTGTAAACTTTAGGAACAAGAGTATTATTAATTATTTAAATGATAAATTATTGATAAAATCATTGTCTTGAGCCCTTATTATTAAATACACTATTAAATATATAATACTATTTTGACTATGGATATTGTAAAATACATCCCACTGTTTCACTAGTCAGTATATTATTCAAGTCACCTCTAGTTGGTTATTATTCAAGTCACGTGATATGGAAACTTGATCATTCCATAGAAGTCAAAACTCAAGACTCTTGTAACAGTATGTAAAATTTGACAGTTGTCAAAATATATATTATTATGAACATATCTACTTACCGGCAAAATACCAACTTTAGAGTAATGTCATTACTGGTATCCCTGATATAACGTCTAGTATTAGTGTTGGTGTTTGTCTTGACTTCTGATTGTTCTACTTTCTTCTTAAATGCTTCCAGGTCAGCCACCCTGTTTTTTAATGCAGCTATTTCTTCATCTTTTCTTTCAAATTGTTCATTTATCCGATTAAATTTAAACCGGAAATCTTCCATATCGGAAGTGCGATCATCCGGGTCGGTCTGGTTTTTAGTTTCATTTAATATTGTGTTTGATTTTCCAATCTGTACAGCTTCACAATCACCACGTATATTATACATGTAGTAGGTATTGTTGTTAACGGTTGATATCTGGAATAGAAAATAAATAAACAACCAGTCTCTACTTGTAAATATTATTACAACAATATCTCTCTTCTTAGATATGATAATCATCGACGAATATAAATATCAGAAAAGAGAGCTGTAAATTAAGCGCATGCGCTGAATCTCTAGTTTGAGATGCTCGGTTGACCAGTGGCGTACAGAAGTTTGTTGATGCCTGGGGACAACTCCTTGACTTAAACACAGGGTCGAGTACTGAAACATGTGAGACGAGAAGACATTTTAAATATATACAGAATCAGATGAATTAATCTTTGTATTTAAATTAAATATAAATCGATCACATTTCTATTCTTTATATGTAACATGTTGTCTACTATCGTCTCGTTCATTTAAAACACAGATCCATATTTACACCAGCATGTTGGACTGTAGGCCAAATTTAAATTCTTTGATTGGATATTTGATGCCCCATCCCCACCTCTCTATCTTACCAGAATCTATGACCTAGTCCGTCTACCCCACCCCCCTTTCCTTGTACGCCACTGATGATCGGTGGAGTTGTGACAACAACACCACCATTCAGTTCACATTCTGAACATCTGAGACACGCTACCTGCGGAGAAGTATCTCAGACACAGTCAGTAGCCATGATATCCATATCACGTGATCTACACATCACAGATCATGACATTGGCGTCAATGGGTCAAGAGGTCAACATTGTAAACAATAGGTTTATCTTCAGCATTGTGTCCATTGCACTCATAAAGACTATATAATTCGTAGAGTCCCAACATGTTCTCTCTTCTTCCAATGATTTTTCACAAAAATAACATCTACAACTCATAGAATTGATGTTGTTTTCAACGACAGCGTCTGCGAGGGTTGTTCATAGAGGCCGCCATATTGCACTATTTTGTGCGTCGGTCGGATCTATTTCAGGTATACACAATCAATTCTGTTGATGTTTTTAGCTTTGGGATTGACTAATAGTTAATGTGTTTCAGTTCTAAAACAAATATTTTAAACTTTAACGCAAATTTAGAAAATAGCCAAATTCTGGCTGGGATTACTGAGCAAAATGGCCATTCACTGTATACGTGCGAAAAAAAACCCAGCCACCAATTAATTTTCGTACGTTAGTTACGTACGTTCAGTTCAATGCTAAAATCCTACTTTCTGTTTCTATCGTGTTGAAGATGTTGTTAGGACTGGTGGACACAGACAGAAAGAAGGTGCTATGGGGAATGACAATAACACAGTTCCTCACCGAGAAAGAACTGGGGTTTAACGTCCATTAAACGGAAGACCAGGAGAAATTTTTCAATAAAATATGTTTAAACTAAACTACTAGTTGTATCAAATATAGGAGTAAACATACACTGCTTCGTGTACTCACTCGTCAGTATTTGTATTCTACAAGAGATAAGACATTCATTATCAAGATTTCGATAGTTAGATATTGACGTCATAAACTGACGTGTTATTTTATAAACATGACGTAGTTGTACTTACTGGAGTGGCCATTCTTCTTGTGCTTATTATTCTATGACAACTTTCTTCCACTAGAGTTCCCTTAGAACTTTACTAAAGACTAACAGAACTGTATAACACTAGATCAAGGGGGTTCTATAAAAATTACCCATTGGAAAAACACAGTCTATGTATAGTGTATTAATGACGAGTTTTAGTCTTGTATAACCTGTCTCACTACTATTTACGTTGAATGAGATCAAATACGATAAATAATTATAATATTTCTACACTCATGAATATCCATTCTCGATAAAGAATATAATCCCGACTTGTTAAAACGAATATAATAAATTCCCGGTGTTTAAGATAACCTAAATATATCAATATAATAAATAGTGTTGTAACTATCTGAATGAATACTCCACAATTGTCTGTTCAGTGGGTGTTTATTTATGTCTGGATAACGTAGTCTATTCTATACTATAGTAACGGGAAAACCAGTCTATTTATACGTATTGCGTAAGCTTGTAATATGGGCGTCGCCTTTCAATAAATAAAATGAAATGAAATGTGGTTTTATGGCACCTCAGCTCCAACCGGGCTATATTGCGGCCAAACATATGGTGAATATTACGAGACAGGCTAAATTATATCACAGAAAAACATTATATGCATAAATACTATATTGTCTTGCACGTTCACATGGTTAACTATAGAATACTTTAACGGTTTATTACCGGGCAACGTTTCGACTAGAATTCTTTATCAATATACAGTGTACTATGATGGAATTTTTGCCCGAACAGCGGCGCTACGACTTCCATTCTTAAATTAATTTACAACTGCGAAGGTTTCTTTTAAGTTCACGCCAATGTGTACATGGGTATTCTGTTTTTAGGCCAATCCTAAAGACTAGACACTGTCCCTGCCATGTGGGTCTACGCCGGAAAATCCACTGGCACTGTCTGGGCAGCATTGGGACCCGAGCCCCCCCCCCCCCGGCGATCCAACGTCTTACTCATTGAGCCACTGCGTGGTCCAGCTGTATTTAACGCGGTAAGGTTAATATAATAAGATTAATATAATAAGGTCAGGTCAATATATTTGACCAGCGGCATACTCTTGATGTTGGCGTTTAAACTGTTCTGCTCCGACTGGGCAACGCCATACAGTGTACTGTGACGGAATTCCAAATGAAATGAAATGGAGTTTTACGTCCTACTGTTCTGCTCCTAACCTGGGCTAATGAAGACGGGCAAACGCCATACAGTGTGCTATGAGGGAAATTTTGCCCGGACAGCGGCACTACGGCCTACTCTTATATCGAATTCCAACTGCCAAGGGATCTTTTGCGTGCACGCCAATGTGTACACGGGACCTCGGTTTTTCGTCCCATCCGAACGACTAGACAGCTTTCCTTGTCAGCCCCTCCGTCCTGCATCACTGACAAGGGAGAACCACGCCGGAAAATCTGGATGAACTTTCTCGGCCAATGCAGGGATCGAACACCCGACCTCCAGGCTAGCGAGCTAGCGTCTTACCCACTTAGCCACGTGATCCCCTTGACGGAATTCCAACTTCCAAGCCAACGGGACCTCGGTATTTTGTTCCATATACATCGGTTGATAGTTATCAATGATAATTAGTGTTGATAATAAATATATGTTAATTGTGGTAATATTTTTCATTATATATACGTTGATATTATAAAAATATCGATTTTAAAGTTTACAGTTTATAGAACCTAAATAGTGGTTTATATATTTTATTATATTTTCATATAATTTAGTACGTTGATACTAAAAAAATATTCATTTTAAAGTTTACAGTTTATCACACCTAAATGGTGGTTTTAGGTTTTTTTTCAAATATTTTAATATATTTGGGTACGTTTCTCGTGTTTTTATACGGTTGGAAAAGCTAAAAAGCAGAATGTCAAATTACTTTCGCTTTAAAGATTTAAATAAAAAGCTGGCAACCCCTGTTATAATTGTTCAAAAATGGACATTTTATTCAAATTACTTTTATATTCTAAGCCACTCACTAAATTTAATTATTAAATGGTGATCTTGTTTTAATCCGTTCAATTCTCGACAACCCGATGGTTTTGGTAGTCGTTTAGAGCTAATCCCACTAAACACTGCTTTAATGGAAGCAAATTTCTGTTCCAAATTATGACTGGTCAATACTCGGATTAACAAACAATAGCTAACTGCGTAACAATATGATTACGCTTTAAACATGGCTCCACATTGGACCAAATATGTTTTCATAACGTTACGTCATGACTCACGATTTTATTATGTCCAGTTAACCAGTACATAGCAGACTATTACCGAAACACTAATTGCGTGACAAACGAGGCTATCAAGACTTTCACCGTTTTTAATACCTTAAATCACTGTCCAAAGTTTTAGGCAAGACCCCAGATTAAACGAAGGGCTGTTATGTAGCTGTAATTGGGATTAGACACACTCCCTCAAAAGCTCAAATATCAGAAGCCAATCCAGCAGTGGACAGAGGGGGATTTCTCGGGCCATTGCTTCAGGAATATGTTATAGGCCTAGCATGGGAATAATTTATATAACATTTGAAGCCAAGGTTGATAAATACGTTTTTTTGTGGGTATATAAATATATCATATTCTCTTTTGGTGGGTATATAAATATATCATATTCTCTTTTATATAAATATATCATATTCTCTTTTGGTGGGTATATAAATATATCATATTCTCTTTTGGTGGGTATATAAATATATCATATTCTCTTTTATATAAATATATCATATTCTCTTTTGGTGGGTATATAAATATATCATATTCTCTTTTGGTGGGTATATAAATATATCATATTCTCTTTTGGTGGGTATATAAATATATCATATTCTCTTTTGCTCGTGACACCACACCGGGGGTAATGGAATATATTTTGTTGAACAAATTAGGTAATAATCCCAGCTGGTATACAAGAGAGAGAGAGAGAGAGAGAGAGAGGGGAAGCGCGAGGGGTAACGTCCACTCGACACAAACTATGTCATTTTGGGACTAACATATGGTTCAATTTTATTTCAATAATTCGATTGCGCGGAGGGGTCTTTACGCAGTGGGAGGAAACCAAAGGACCCGGAGAAAACACACGAGGTTGGACAAATGACCCTACTCCTTGTCACGTACAAGCGGGGAATCGAAACCAAGACCAATTTTAACAATCATAGCATCTCCACCAGGTTTAAATTATAAACTATTTAAACATTGTCTTGATTTTGGAAAATATCTATCAGTCTTACCTATGTAGATTTAGAACTGCAATAAAAAACTCTCCATAGAAACTGGCCTACGGAAGAAAATTCCAAGAGAAAATAGAATCTATAAACTATGCAAACTAAATGAAATTGGCGATGAATTCCACTATTTATTTATTTATCTATTTGTACAGGTTCGGTTATTTTAAAGATAAGAAAATTGTCTATATCGCCTATGTTCTACTTAGGGAATTGTTAAATTGAACTCACCCTTGTGTACTGAACAGTTTACACGGATTAACAAGGGAATAACGCAAAGGTTTCCCCCCCCTCCTCCGACCGGTAATTGTGCACACTCTTGTGTATTGAACAGTTTACCTTGCTTAATAAGGTTATAACACAAATGTTACCCCCACCCCACCCCAACCCTCCGGTATACCCTCTTTACACATGTATATATATATGTTATATTTATGTTGATGATGTAAATATGTTATTATTTCTACACTGTATTTATGTACGGTTTGTGAAATAAAGAATGTCTGTCTGTCTGTCTGTCTAATTCAATGTCGGCTTGTTGTTATTATTATCCATGATATACATTTAACTTAGTCAAGGTTGAATTTAGGGGGGGGGGGTATTGAAATGGGGTCCGCCCATCCGTCCGAAAAACTCGAAAACTTGTTGATAATTTTCGCTGCCAAAACTCAATCGATCGAAATGATGTCAAAAGTTGAACCACCTCCGCACCAGCTTCACCGGTTTCGTCCAACACGTGACGAAAGCTGTGTTGCCTTGAACTCAGCCAAAAATACAAGTAAATACCTCAAATTTTCAAGGGATATTAAATTGTGCAATGGATTTTATTTAACGTGGGGTGATTTCAAACGCACAGGTGGGTGTATAAAAACTGGTACATCTCTTTAGTAGTTTACCTATTCCAAGCCAGGAAGTTACTAAGCAAATTAAGATCATCACTTTTAATTATATCTGTAATGGCAAGACAGATAGAATCTCGAGAAAATTAATAGTACAGGAGTATGAAAACGGTGGATTAAGAAAACTAAATGTAAACTGTTTCATAAAAAGTCTTAAATTGTCATGGATAAATAAAAACTCCTTACAGAAAACTGAAACTGTTGAAAACTTATAAAATATATCATGGCTAAAAGCCTAGAGACAATGACATCATGCGGTGGTGAACTTGTAAAAAAAACTAATAAATGAAACTACTAATCAATTTTGGAAAGACGTTTTCAAAGCTCTCTATGACTTTATCCATGCTAACCAGAAAACACTGAACTCTAAAGAAATAATTAATGAACTCGTGTGGCATAATAACAAAATTACAATTTCCAGAAATCCTATCTACTACAAAGAGTGTTATGAAAAAGGAATAAGATTTATCTATGATTTCTTAGATGAGGAAGGGAATCTAATTAATTTAGCCCAATTCAATAAAAAAAATTAATTTCAATCCTAATTTTACAAAATTTTTAGGAATTATAAAGTCTATTAAAACATTTCTCGAAAACCATGAAAATATTGGTTACTGTGGCTGCTACCATGGCAACCCAAAACACATCCAAACTATCATGGATCAACTGTTTGTTGCCCAGTTTCATAAAAAAAACAAAAAGCGAAATCAAATAGGAATCAAATATAGGCGATCTGTGACAAAATATCAATTCTTTAGCTTCTAAAATAACTAAAGACACCAAACTTATCTGGTTACAATATAGGATTATCCATAGGATTCTGAGTACTAATTTTCTTAATTGGGTTAATTCGATCATGAATCCCGACCTAACCTTATCTCCAGTGGATATAATATTCGGGAAATTAAAACCATGTAATAATCAAATTAACATACTCTTGTTAATCATAAAAAACTACATTTATAAAAATAAACTATTAAAACAGACAATATCCCTAAATGGTATCACATGAGAAATAAGATACTACATAAAACTTGAAAAATACAAATACAAAATAAATATGAATTATGAGACATATATAGACAAATGGGGTGATTATGAAGCTTCGTTTGCTGAATGATCTCTATAGATGACACAGAACAGTTATTTTGTCGGGGGATCAAGGGTGAAGATGATTATTTATAAGTATCGATTTCTTTATTTATTATTTTATTGATTTAATGTTACTCCATCTAAGTAATACACGGCTATGTTATGGCTATGACATGTACATTGTTCAGTATAAAATATATATGTACTAGAAAAAATTGAATATGTCACAGCCCCATTATCCTAAGTTTATAATAACCAAAGTTAAGTAGTTTGTTCACAATCGAAGAAATACGTTTAAAATTTACGATGGTTCAAACAGTAATCACATTCGTAATAGATGTAAATACTGCGTAAATTTGCATGTGTATAATTATCATTGGTTATCTTCTTGTGAAGGATTTCATATAATGGTCTAAACTCTGATGTATGTATATTATATTTGATGTTCTATACAGTATGTCAACATGTGGCTTTCATAATAGAATATAATCATCTAAATTGTATTTAAATAAAATATATACATTGTATTGTAGTTATCAGTTAATTGCCGAACTATGAATATACATTGTATTGTAGTTATCAGTTAATTGCCGAACTATGAATAGTATCGAGATCAGTGATACAGCTGATGGTAGTAATTATGACGTCATATATTCCATTACGTAGGGATGGTATAGCCTCTCCTAACCTAATGAAATGAAATGGTGTTTAACGTCCTACTCTCCTGCACCAACTGGGCTAATGACAACTGGTAGAACAAATGTGCTATGAAATTATTTTTCCCAGCCAATGTTTCTGCATGCTCTTCATTTTGATGTTTGCCAACGGGTACATCGTGGCCCCCTTACAACTTATCAACATATTTTACACCGTGACCCGGTTACAAGGTACACAAATTATACACCGTGACCAGGTTACAAGGAACACAAATTATACACCGTAGCCCCCTTACAAAGAAAACCTAGGCACCGAGTACACATTGGAGTGAACGTAAAACAAACCCTTGACAGTTGGAATTCTATATTAGAGTAGACCGTAGCGACACGGTCCGAGCAATTTCCCTTATAACACATTGTATGGCCTACGTGTTCATTAGGTCAGTCGGAGTAGAACAGTAGGACTTTAAACCCTATTTCGATAAAACGCTACACCTGTTTGTGGTTTTTATGTTACACAATGATGGGCTGATATAACTGCATTGAACTAAAGTAATTTGTCAGGTTAAAAAGAGTTATCTCCCTCTCTACGGGAGTTTATATACAGGTAGGCTGATGTATATAGTACCATATAGGTACTATAGTATGGTCGACAGGTACTGTTATATACAGGTAGGTTGGTAAATATGGTCGACAGGTACTGTTATATACAGGTAGGTAACATTAAGGTGTTGTATTAGGTACCACACAGCGGGTCATTACAAACTGTATTTACACATATCATCCATGTTAAAGTCGCTCCACTAGTTGAATGTCGAACACTGGATTCCAGTATAAAGTTCTGTCATTAGTCTATCTATGTCGAAATTATTTCGTCCCCTTATATTTATCTGGACTTGTGACAAACTGTAATCCCTAAGATCGAATATCAAAAAATACCTGCTGTTCCTAAAACCTTTGGAATTTATTGCCAGAGAGAGAGAGAGAAACATGGTTCAATTTTATTTCAATAAGTCGCTTGCGCGTAGTGGTCTTTAACAGTAGGATGAAACTGGAGGACCCGGAGAAAACCCACGAAGTTGGTCAGGCGACCCTACTCCTTGTCACGTACAGCCGTGGAAATCGAAACCACGCCAGTTGACTCAATATCACAAACATTATTGATACAACGTGCACGCGCTAATAATTCGTCCACCCAACCTCCGCCATTAAATATTAGAGAATCTCAAAGTTTCCCAATTTTCAAGTCACCATTAAAAACTAATTTAATCTAGATTAGAAACAGATTGTATTTGCGTATTTATTTTAATCAACGAGAAAGTCCTTTGGCCGTGCGTAAAGCATCTGTAATCTGTATTTAGTTGGGAGTTGGGTTTTTTTTTGGCACGTCCCATTCGAATGACTAGAAACATATTGCGACGTCATCCTGTATTAATTGCCCATTGTAGCCAACTATTCCTAGAATTATTTCTTCAAGATAGATTCTCTTTTTTCGTCCTATTCGTATGACTTGACACATGTTGACAGCGTTATCCAGTCTTTCATGATACCACAGACTGACCCCCTCTGTTAGTGGTAACTATCTCATTTCTTGACACCATAGAAATATTAGTAGAAGGACATTAGTTTAGTTATAAAATATTTTATTGAAACAAAATTAGAATAAAAAGCATAAAACATTGTTTCACTAATATAATTATATATTATATATATGTCAGTTAGTTATCACATGATCACGACTACATATCACCTGATAATCGTGACTATTGAATTACAGCTTTATTTACAGTAGTAAGCTAGTTTTATATTAGGATGTTAGATATTACTTAGAGTAAGATTCAATATATCAATCAGGTGGGACAGGTGAGACAGGTAAGATATTACTTAGAGTAAGATTCAATATATCAATCAGGTGGGACAGGTGAGATATTACTTAGAGTAAGTTTCAATATATCAATCATGGGGGTGGTGGGGGGGTGTATAACATACTTGGTTAAATACTAGGGTGCTGGTGTGGTTGATAATACTCTTCACTAATATAGCACACACCCAACCACGCCCCACCACCACACACACCACACCACCACTCACCACAACACCACGCACACCCACCGGTTTTAACATTTTACTTTATTCCACCCTCACAACCTAATCAAGAGACAATAAGATAATAATACCTAACCTCGTTCTGGTTCATCCATTATATTTTACTAAAAGTAATATCTACCCTACCCCACCCGACACACCTCATTGTTTAATATAAAGGAGACCATCAATACATCATATCAATATAATCTCTATATTTTACTATTAATAGTAGTAAACCTTGTTCTGGTCTACAACACCAAGTTGTTCCAGGCTATAGTCGTTCTTGTTGCTATCACTGTCGTAGATAACTTCCTCTCTACCATCTCTATATCCTACTATAACAATCCTACTAATCTTCTTATTCTTCTTCTCTTCTATCAACTTCTTTAAATCTTTAAAACTGACTTTCTTACTGACAGTTATAGTACCCATATCTTTACATGACCAACTATAAATACAGGTTAATATATTATATCATTATCAACTGATATAAATACAGGTTAATATATTATATCATTATCAACTGATATATATGGTGGCTGATTGCTATCATATGTCCGTCTTCATTAGCCCAGTCGGAGCAGAACGAAATGAGATGAAATGAGATGAAATGGGAGTTTAACGTCCTACTGTTCTGCTCCGACTGGGCTAATGAAGACGGGTTTATACCATTCAGTGCGTTATAAGAGACATTTTGCCCGAACAGCGGCGCTACGGCCTACTCTTATATCCAATTCCAATTGCCAAGGGATCTTTTACGTGCACGCCAATGTATACACAGCACCTCGGTTTTTCATTCCATCCGAATGACTAGATAGCTGTCCTTGTCAGGCCCTCCATCCTGCATCCCTGACAACGGGAAACCACGTAGGAAAATATTGATGAACTTTCTCGATCATCACCGGGGGCGAATCTGCGACGTCTAGGCCAGCGAGCCAGCGTCTTACTCACTTAGCCACTGTGGCTCCCGGAGCAGAACAGTTGGACGTTAAACGCCATTTCATTTCATTTCATTTTCTTACCAATCAGCCACCATAGATATAAATACAGGTTAATATATCATTATCAATAATCATCTTTGTAAACCTTAGGAACACGAGTATTATAAATTATTTAAATGATAAATTATTGATAAAATCAATGTTTTGACCCCTTATTATTAAATACATTATTAAATATATAATACTATTTTGACTATGGATATTGTAAAATACATCCCACTGTTCACTAGTCAGTATATTATTCAAGTCACCTCTAGTTGGTTATTATTCAAGTCACGTGATACAGAAACTTGATCATTCGATATATGTCAAACGTCAAGACTATTGTAACAGTATATAAAGTTTGACAGTTGTCAAAATATATATTATTATGAACACATTTACTTACCAGCCATATAACAACTTAAGAGTAATATCATTACTCGTATCCCTGACATAACGTCTAGTATTAGTGTTGGCGTTTGTCTTGACTTCTGATTGTTCTACTTTCGTCTTAAATGCTTCCAGGTCAGCAACCCTGTTTTTTAATTCAGCTATTTCTTCGTCTTTTCTTTCAAATTGTTCCTTTATCCGATTCATCTGGAATCTCACGTCTTCCATCTCGGATGTGCGATCATCCAGGTCGGTCTGGTTACTAGTTTCATTTATTGTGTTTGATTTTCCAATCTGTACAGCTTGACAATCACCATGTATATTATACATGTAGGTATTGTGGTTAACGGTTGAAAACTGGAATAGAAAATAAATAAACAACCAGTCTCTACTTGTAAATATTATTACAACAATATCTCTCTTCTTAGATATGATAATCATCGACGAGTATAAATATCAGAAAGAGAGCTGTAAAATAAGCGCATGCGTTGAATCTCTAGTTTGAGATGCTCGGTTGACCAGTGGCGTACAGAAGTTTGTTGATGCCTGGGGACAACTCCTTGACTTAAACACAGGGTCGAGTACTGAAACATGTGAGAACGAGACGACATTTTAAATATATACAAAAACAGATGAATTGATCTTTGTATTCAAATTAAATATAAATTAGCCACATTCCCTTCTTTATATGTAACATGTTCTCTACTCTGGATTCACACTCACGCCAGCATGTTGGACTGTAGGCCAAATTTAAATTCTTTGATTGGATATTTGATGCCCCCCCCCCACCTCTCTATCTTACCAGATTCCATGACATGGTCCGTCTACCTCCCCCCCCCCCCTTACCCTGTACGCCACTGATGATCGGTGGACATGTAACAACACTGCCATTCCGTTCAATGCTAAAATCCTACTTTCTGTTTCTATCGTGTTGAAGATGTTGTTAGGACTGATAGACACAGACAGAAAGAAGGTGCTCTGGGGAATGAAAATGTCACAGTTCTTCACTGAGAAAGAACTGGGGTTTAACGTCCATTTAATGGTGTGCCAGGAGAAAACCCGCGAGATTGGACAGGTGACCCTACTCCTTGTCAGGTCCATGCTCGGATCAAAACCACACCACGTGACTCTATGACAGCCCTTATGATCTAAAGCGCACCCTACGCAGCTCTTTAAAAATACTAGGTAAATATAAACCAGTGAACTTGTAAATTGTTACATCAACACGACTCTCATAGATGTAGAGACACTAGTTGTATCAAGTATAGGAGTAAACATACACTGCTTCGTGTACTCACTCGTCAGTATTTGTATTCTACGAGAGGTAAGACAGTCATTATCAAGATTACAATGGTTAGTTATTGACGTCATAAACTGACGTGTTATTTTATAAATATGACGTAGTTGTACTTACTGGGGTGGCCATTCTTCTTGTGCTTATTATTCTATGACAACTTTCTTCCATTAGGGTTCCCTTAGAACCTTACTAAAGACTAACAGAACTGTATAACACTGGATCAAGGGGGTTCTATAAAAATTACCGATTGAAAAAACACAGTCTATGTATAGTGTATTAATCACGAGTTTTAGTCTTGTATAACTTGTCTCACAGATATGTACGTTGAGCGAGATCAAGTACGATAAATAATTATAATATTTCTACACCCATGAATATCCATTCTCGATAAAGAATATAATCCCGACTTGTTAAAACGAATATAATAAATTCCCGGTGTTTAAGATAACCTAAATATATCAATATAATAAATAGTGTTGTAACTATCTGAATGAATACTCCACAATTGTCTGTTCAGTGGGTGTTTATTTATGTCTGGATAACGTAGTCTATTCTATACAATAGTAACGGGAAACCCATCTATTTATACGTATTGCGTAAGCTTGTAATATGGGCGTCGCCTTTCAATAAATAAAATGAAATGAAATGTGGTTTTATGGCACCTCAGCTCCAACCGGGCTATATTGCGGCCAAACATATGGTGAATATTACGAGACCGGCTAAATTATATCACAGAAAAACATTATATGCATAAATACGTATATTGACTTGCACGTTCACGTGTATAACTATGGAATACTTCTACGGTTTATTACCGGGCAACGTTTCTACTAGAATTCTTTATCAATATACAGTGTACTATGATGGAATTTTTTCCCGAACAGCGGCGCTACGACGTCCATTCTTAAATTAATTTACAACTGCCAAGGTTTCTTTTAAGTTCACGCCAATGTGTACATGGGTATTCTGTTTTTAGGCCAATCCTAAAGACTAGACACTGTCCCTGCCATGTGGGTCTACGCCGGAAAATCCACTGGCACTGTCTGGGCAGCATTGGGACCCGAGCCCCCCCCCCCCCCCCGGCGATCCAACGTCTTACTTATTGAGCCACTGCCTGGTCCAGCTGTATTTAACGCGGTAAGGTTAATATAATAAGATTAATATAATAAGGTCAGGTCAATATATTTGACCAGCGGCATACTCTTGATGTTGGCGTTTAAACTGTTCTGCTCCGACTGGGCAACGCCATACAGTGTACTGTGACGGAATTCCAAATGAAATGAAATGGAGTTTTACGTCCTACTGTTCTGCTCCTAACCTGGGCTAATGAAGACGGGCAAACGCCATACAGTGTGCTATGAGGGAAATTTTGCCCGGACAGCGGCACTACGGCCTACTCTTATATCGAATTCCAACTGCCAAGGGATCTTTTGCGTGCACGCCAATGTGTACACGGGACCTCGGTTTTTCGTCCCATCTGAACGACTAGACAGCTTTCCTTGTCAGCCCCTCCGTCCTGCATCACTGACAAGGGAGAACCACGCCGGAAAATCTGGATGAACTTTCTCGGCCAATGCAGGGATCGAACACCCGACCTCCAGGCTAGCGAGCTAGCGTCTTACCCACTTAGCCACGTGATCCCTTTGACGGAATTCCAACTTCCAAGCCAACGGGACCTCGGTATTTTGTTCCATATACATCGGTTGATAGTTATCAATGATAATTAGTGTTGATAATAAATATATGTTAATTGTGGTAATATTTTTCATTATATATACGTTGATATTATAAAAATATCGATTTTAAAGTTTACAGTTTATAGAACCTAAATAGTGGTTTATATATTTTATTATATTTTCATATAATTTAGTACGTTGATACTAAAAAAATATTCATTTTAAAGTTTACAGTTTATCACACCTAAATGGTGGTTTTAGGTTTTTTTTCAAATATTTTAATATATTTGGGTACGTTTCTCGTGTTTTTATACGGTTGGAAAAGCTAAAAAGCAGAATGTCAAATTACTTTCGCTTTAAAGATTTAAATAAAAAGCTGGCAACCCCTGTTATAATTGTTCAAAAATGGACATTTTATTCAAATTACTTTTATATTCTAAGCCACTCACTAAATTTAATTATTAAATGGTGATCTTGTTTTAATCCGTTCAATTCTCGACAACCCGATGGTTTAGGTAGTCGTTTAGAGCTAATCCCACTAAACACTGCTTTAATGGAAGCAAATTTCTGTTCCAAATTATGACTGGTCAATACTCGGATTAACAAACAATAGCTAACTGCGTAACAATATGATTACGCTTTAAACATGGCTCCACATTGGACCAAATATGTTTTCATAACGTTACGTCATGACTCACGATTTTATTATGTCCAGTTAACCAGTACATAGCAGACTATTACAGAAACACTAATTGCGTGACAAACGAGGCTATCGAGACTTTCACCGTTTTTAATACCTTAAATCACTGTCCAAAGTTTTAGGCAAGACCCCAGATTAAACGAAGGGCTGTTATGTAGCTGTAATTGGGATTAGACACACTCCCTCAAAAGCTCAAATATCAGAAGCCAATCCAGCAGTGGACAGAGGGGGATTTCTCGGGCCATTGCTTCAGGAATATGTTATAGGCCTAGCATGGGAATAATTTATATAACATTTGAAGCCAAGGTTGATAAATACGTTTTTTTGTGGGTATATAAATATATCATATTCTCTTTTGGTGGGTGACACCACACCGGGGGTAATGGAATATATTTTGTTGACCAAATTAGGTAATAATCCCAGCTGGTATACAAGAGAGGGAGAGAGAGAGAGAGGAAGGGCGAGGGGTAACGTCCACTCGACACAAACTATGTCATTTTGGGACTAACATATGGTTCAATTTTATTTCAATAATTCGATTGCGCGGAGGGGTCTTTACGCAGTGGGAGGAAACCAAAGGACCCGGAGAAGAAAACACACGAGGTTGGACAAATGACCCTACTCCTTGTCACGTACAAGCGGGGAATCGAAACCAAGACCAATTTTAACAATCATAGCATCTCCACCAGGTTTAAATTATAAACTATTTAAACATTGTCTTGATTTTGGAAAATATCTATCAGTCTTACCTATGTAGATGTAGAACTGCAATAAAAAACTCTCCATAGAAACTGGCCTACGGAAGAGAAAATAGAATCTATAAACTATGCAAACTAAATGAAATTGGCGATGAATTCCACTATTTATTTATTTATCTATTTGTACAGGTTCGGTTATTTTAAAGATAAGAAAATTGTCTATATCGCCTATGTTCTACTTAGGGAATTGTTAAATTGAACTCACCCTTGTGTACTGAACAGTTTACACGGATTAACAAGGGAATAACGCAAAGGTTCCCCCCCCCCACTCCTCCGACCGGTAATTGTGCACACTCTTGTGTATTGAACAGTTTACCTTGCTTAATAAGGTTATAACACAAATGTTACCCCCACCCCACCCCAACCCTCCGGTATACCCTCTTTACACATGTATATATATATATATGTTATATTTATGTTGATGATGTAAATATGTTATTATTTCTACACTGTATTTATGTACGGTTTGTGAAATAAAGAATGTCTGTCTGTCTGTCTGTCTGTCTGTCTGTCTAATTCAATGTCGGCTTGTTGTTATTATTATCCAAGATATACATTTAACTTAGTCAAGGTTGAATTTAGGGGGGGGGGATTTGAAATGGGAACCGCCCATCCGTCCGAAACACTCGAAAACTTGTTGATAATTTTCGCTGCCAAAACTCAAACGATCGAAATGATGTCAAAAGTTGAACCACCTCCGCACCAGCTTCACCGGTTTCGTCCAACACGTGACGAAAGCTGTGTTGCCTTGAACTCAGCCAAAAATACAAGTAAATATCTCAAATTTTCAAGGGATTTTAAATTGTGCAATGGATTTTATTTAACGTGGGGTGATTTCAAACGCACAGGTGAGTTTATAATAACTGGTACATCTCTTTAGTAGTTTACCTATTCCAAGCCAGGAAGTTACTAAGCAAATTAAGATCATCACTTTTAATTATATCTGTAATGGCAAGACAGATAGAATCTCGAGAAAATTAATAGTACAGGAGTATGAAAACGGTGGATTAAGAAAACTAAATGTAAACTGTTTCATAAAAAGTCTTAAATTGTCATGGATAAATAAAAACTCCTTACAGAAAACTGAAACTGTTGAAAACTTATAAAATATATCATGGCTAAAAGCCTAGAGACAATGACATCATGCGGTGGTGAACTTGTAAAAAAAACTAATAAATGAAACTACTAATCAATTTTGGAAAGACGTTTTCAAAGCTCTCTATGACTTTATCCATGCTAACCAGAAAACACTGAACTCTAAAGAAATAATTAATGAACTCGTGTGGCATAATAACAAAATTACAATTTCCAGAAATCCTATCTACTACAAAGAGTGTTATGAAAAAGGAATAAGATTTATCTATGATTTCTTAGATGAGGAAGGGAATCTAATTAATTTAGCCCAATTCAATAAAAAAAATTAATTTCAATCCTAATTTTACAAAATTTTTAGGAATTATAAAGTCTATTAAAACATTTCTCGAAAACCATGAAAATATTGGTTACTGTGGCTGCTACCATGGCAACCCAAAACACATCCAAACTATCATGGATCAACTGTTTGTTGCCCAGTTTCATAAAAAAACAAAAAGCGAAATCAAATAGGAATCAAATATAGGCGATCTGTGACAAAATATCAATTCTTTAGCTTCTAAAATAACTAAAGACACCAAACTTATTTGGTTACAATATAGGATTATCCATAGGATTCTGAGTACTAATTTTCTTAATTGGTTTAATTCGATCATGAATCCCGACCTAACCTTATCTCCAGTGGATATAATATTCGGGAAATTAAAACCATGTAATAATCAAATTAACATACTCTTGTTAATCATAAAAAACTACATTTATAAAAATAAACTATTAAAACAGACAATATCTCTAGACGGTATCACAAGAGATATAAGATACTACATAAAACTTGAAAAATACAAATACAAAATGAATATGAATTATGAGACATATATAGACAAATGGGGTGATTATGAAGCTTCGTTTGCTGAATGATCGCTATAGATGACCCAGACCAGTTATTTTGTCTCGGGGATCAAAGGTGAAGATGATCATTTATAAGTATCGATTTCCTTATTTATTATTTTATTGATTTAATGTTTCTCCATCTAAGTAATACACGGCTAT